AGGAAACCATGTACACATTATTAAAGATTTTAATAGATTTTTAAAAACCCAATGCATATGTGTTCCTCCTCCCTACGCTGAATTCAGTTTGGGGAAGGTGGGCGGCCCAACCCAGGGCAAAAAGAAGAAATTACAGAAACCACATCATGTGTCTTAAGGGGAAGGTCCCACCCAGGGGTCATTTCGTAGAAAAAGAGGTGCAGGAGCTCATTAGCATAGCTCATTAGCGTAACTTATTTGCATGTGCCATACCCCCTGACATCACCGGAAGTCTGTCAGAAGGCAACACCCACCGCTCAGGCTCCACTGGACTGTTTTGGATTGCTAGCTATTGGGGGGGGGGGAACGTGCAGATCTGCCCTCGCAGAGGAGGGAGAGCTTGTACCTGAATAAAACTTGGTCTTAAAGGTGCCACTGGACTGTTTTGGACAGGGGGCCAGGGCGGGCTTTCCAACTTACCTGGCTGCTTCTTGCTCTGACTGAGGGCTGCTGGGAGCAGGGGGTGGGGCTTGTTGCATGTGCCCGCCCCCTGGGCTCTTTACTGCCGCAGCTCCTGCAGGAAAGGACCCCTGGTCCCACCACTCAATAATCAAGCTCCAAATGGACCCAGGTTTAGTCCCAGTTAACGGATCTCAAGCTGCAGGTATTGAGAGAGAGCTTTCTCTGCCCGGGATCCCTGGAGACCCACTGCCAAACAGAAGTGAGATGGACCACCATGAAGCTGGGTCAGAGGAATACTCCCGAGTCAGTCGTGGGCTGAGAAATGTCTTCACGTCTCCTACCTGAGATCCTTTAACTAGTGATGCTCAGCACTCGGAACCAGGACATTCTCCATACAAAGCAGGTGGTGTGGAGGGCGGGGCGTAGGATGAGGAACTGGTCAGGTTGAAACCTCCCCAGAGCCATGAAGCCCATAGTATGACCCAGGGCTAGTCACTGCCTCTCAGCCTAACCTACCTCGCAGGATTGTTGTCAGGATAAAGAGGAGAAGGGAAAATGTCACATTTTCATTTCCACTCATCCTCCAAGGCACTCCAGGTGAGATAAAAGTTTCCAAACAATGAATTGGCAAACTCTGGGAGATTTGAGGGGCATTGCCTCGGGGGGGGGGTTGTGGAGTGAGGATGATGTGAGGTCATTTCCAAGGCCATTTTTCCCCTCCCAACCCTCAATGCCTCGGTAGCAGGAAATAGGTGCTGTGGGGGCAGGTAAACAAAAGGCCTAGTGGTATACGTAGATCTCCCTTCCTCTGTTTTATCTCCACAGCTACCCTGTGAGATAGATGGAGCTGAGAGACAGCAATTGGCTTATACTCAGGGCTATTTTTGGGCAGGAACGCACAGGAACGGAGTTCCGGCTGGCTCCCGAGTTGGCCACGCCCAGCAGGAACTCATTAGCATAATAGGCCACACCTAACAGCAGAAACTCATTAGGACTGGCTACAGTAGGCGTGTGTGGCCTAACATGCAAAGGGTTCCTGCTACAAAAAAAGGCCCTGGGTTTTGACAACAAACAAGGTAAACAGAATAAGAAGCAAAAGGTGAGTGTGGCTGGATGACCACACCTCTGGTAATGTGGGGGGTGGTGTAATATGCTAATGAGCTGCTCTGTCAGGGGTGTGGCCTAATAAGCTAATGTGTTTCTGCTGTTGGGTGTGGCCTGTTATGCTAATGAGTTCCTGCTGTGCTTTTTCTACAAAAAAAAGCCCTGCTTATACTTCATGGCTGAGTGGATTTATTTATTCATCCATCCATCCATTCCCCGCCTTTCTCCCCTACAGGGACCCAAAGTGGGTTACATCCTACTCCTCTCTTCTGTTTTTGCCTCACAACAACCATGTGAGGTAGGTTAGGCTGAGAGTTAGAGATGCCAGCCTCCAGGTGGGGCCTGGGGATCCCCCAGAATTACAGCTCATCTCCAGACTACAGAGATCAGTTCCCCCTGCAGAAAATGGATGCTTTGGAGGGTGGACTCTGTGGCACTGTGCCCCACTGAGGTCCCTGTCCTCCCCAGGCTCCACACACTCAAATCTCCAGGAGTCTCCCAACCTGGAGCTGGCAACCCTCACTGGTGGTCAGGGAACACCTGGTAACTGTACTGAGAAAGCGTGACTGGTCCAAGCTCACCCAGCAACCCTCCATGGAAGAGTGGGGGGTTCTACATCTTCCCATTTTTATTCCAGCACTGCAACCACTACACCTCAGTGCGTAGGGGATCTCCTGGAATTACACAGAGATCAGTCCCCCTGGAGTAAAATGGCTGCTTTAGAGGATGGACAATACGGCACTTAAACCTGCTGAGGGCCCTCCCCAAACACTGCCCTCCCCGGGCTCTACCCCTAAATCTCCAGGAATTTCCCCACCTGGAGCTGGCAGCCATAAAGGCCAGAAAAGTTTCCCCACTACCCAAATGGTCAGAGCTACGAGCCAAAGGAGCAGGCCTGTAAGCTACAGCGAGGCATGTTGGGCCCCGCCCCCTCAAAGGTGAGGCATGCCCCACAACAGCTGCTACCCCTGCCCCTCCCTAGGGTTGCCCTTTCCGTGTTGGGAAATACTTGGAGATTTGGGGGGTGTAGCCTCAGGGGCATAATGCCATAGAGTCCAACTTCCAAAGGGGCCATTTTCTCCAGGTGAACATATCTCAGTCGCCTGGAGGTCAGTTGCAATAGCGGGAGACCTCCAGCCACTACCTGGAGGTTGGCAACCCTCCCCCTCCCTCCCCTCCTGTGACATTAAAAGGGCCCTCCGGCTGACTGGCTGGAGGGCCCTTTAAATCCTGCAGGAAGGGGAGGAAAGGGGTGGTTGAATGCCTTCCCTGAAATCCAAGCGGCGATTTTGCCGCTTGGAGTTCAAGCACAGGCAGCCCCTGCTTGAAAAAAAACCATTTAAAGGAGTTCAGGGAAGGTAGGCACCTGCCCCTCTCCTTCCGCCTCCCTCCCCTCCTGCCCCACGAAATTTCCCCATGCCCCATCAACCCAAAATTTCTGGCTACGGGGCTGCAAAGGAGATATCGTTCTCCTTTTCGATATGTCGATCAACTAATCAGTACCCCCATCTCTTCGGCGTATCCTGCACAGGGAGTCTACGTACCACAATTCCCTGGGGAAGGGGGTAATGGCTTTGGTTTCCCCGTCTGCTCTGGGGCCGGAGAAGGTGAGGGAGAAGGAGCTCTTACCACTAGCCCAAGAGTGGCGGTGGGCAGCCTCCTGTAGGTAGTGCTGAATGAGGGCATTGCCCACGGCCGCGCCATAGTGAGCTGCGTCGTGCCCCGTGGCGTCGACGAGGCCGACCCGGGCCCCACCGTGGACGAGCACCTCCACTGTCTCCACGCTGCCGTTCTCGCAAGCCACCATCAGGGCTGTTCTGAAGCCAAGAGAGGCCCAGTTAAGTTCAGAGGGACGGTTTTGGGAACAAAGGTGGGCAAACATCGGAAGGAAGGAGAGGTTCTCCGGCGCAGTAAACCAACCAACCAACCAAAGAAGACTCCCCAAGAAGAACATGGTAGAAGTTTAGGAATCATGGGATGAGGGTATGGAGAACAAGCCACTACTTTCCCTGCATCGGCAGAGGACAGATCCAGGAAGACTCATGTGTCCCACTCCAAAATCCTCCCAGCCAGATGACAGGCCTGCCAAGACTCCCAGGATCCTGTTGGTCTGTTCTTCTAGCGGAGGTACTTTCCTCCAGCAGAAGGAGCCTTCCCTGGACATAAGTGTCTTACATCAGGGGAAGACTTCCCCTGCTGGAGGAAATGGCTTTTCAAGTGGAACAGACCAACGGGATACACCTTGAGTTGCCAGGCATGGCTTGGGCATGGGGGTGCCAGACTAAGCCACCCTCCCCCCAAAATTGCCCCCCGCCCCCACCAAAAGCTCATGCCGCTCGCCCTGGCCACCGCAGCCTCTTCGCCCACCCCCCCATGACTTTCTGGGCGCATGCTGCTTCAGTGCGCCCCTTCGCTGCCCCTAAAGGTAAAGGTAAAGGTTCCCTTGCTCGAAAGCCAGTCGAGCCCGACTCTAGGGTGCTCATCTCCGTTTCAAAGCTGAAGAGCCAGCGCTGTCCAAAGACGTTTCCGTGGTCATGTGGCCGGCATGACTAAACACCAAGGCGCACGGAACACTGTTACCTAGAGCTGCCCCTAGAGCAGCGGAAAAACGCTCTTTAAAGTGTAACGGCTGCGGCGCCTCCTGCACCGCCTCCTGCACCGCCTCCTGCACCGCCGGGAAATGGCCGCGAAAAGTTCCCGACTCCCCCAGGCCCCGCAATGCGCCTGTGACCTCCCTGGAGCCCTGGAAGTGCAAGCCCTGCAACCCAGAACAGGCGGCCGAGGGCCCCCCAAAGACTCGGCCTGGGCAGGGCAAGGCTAGTGGGGTGGCAAGGGTTGCTGGGGGGCCTGTTCAGCTGATGCAGCACCTCCTCGGTCTCCCCCGCCCCGTGCAGCTGATCATGGAGCAGGCGTCCATCCCGCTGTCCAGCGGCACCAAGGAGCGCGGCCAGTGTGGTGCCAATGAATCCGAGCTGCAGATCTCCTGGGGGGCTTCTCCAGCAGTGGGGGCTCCGTGGGGGGGCAGGCGTTCTCGGCCTCTGCCCAGAGGCTCCCGCGGGGCTTTTGTGACTAATGGCCCCGTCAAGGAAGGGACCGATGGATCTCCTTTCTCCTGCCCCCCCGCACGGCCTCAGGAGAGAGGCATCCCCGCTTCTTCTTAAAGAACAGAGGGAGGGGTGGCTTCCTTCCTTCCTTCCTTTCTTCCTCTTCCTCTCTCTTCCGGGGGGGGGGCGGCGCCAGAAGGTAGCCTCACCTAGTGTGCAAAAAACCCTGGAGCCGGCCCTGGGCCTGGGCCCAGAAGGAGATGGGAGGAGGCAGAAACTTACCGTGGGGGGGTGGAGATTGTTGCCAGCATGCAATGATGTCGCCTCTTGTGCGACCCAGCAGGGCTGGCATTGCGCTGGGGTGACACTCTAGCACTCGCCCAAATACTCTATGGAAGCCATAGAGTTTGGGGGCAAGAGCTAGAGTGACGTGCCGGTCCTTCCGAGCTATTTATTTTATTTATTTATTTATCAAATTCATATTCCGCCCGCCCCACAAATGGGCTCAGGGCTGATCGCAACAAAGAGTTAGGTCATTCAGCATCACAGAAAACACAGTAATAAATAATGAATTAAAACACATTAGAACAAAAATCAAAAACAGATTGTAGCAGTTGTTGCGCAGTCTCCGATACTGGTGCCGCTCGACTCTGAGTCTGTTTAATCTGGGCCGCATGGAAATGGGGTCTTTCAGCTGGGGAGGCTGACTTTTTTTACTGGACACCCACCGCCTCACACAAAGGCCAGGAAGAACCCAGCTCCATTTTACAGGCCCTGCGGAATGGTTAGGGTTGTCAACCCCCCCCCCGGTTTGCCAGGGGTCCCCCGTTTTGGGAGGGAAGCCCCGCCCCCAACACCCACAGCAACCCCTCTCCCTTCTCTCTTGAGAGAGAGAGGTGGCTGCCTTTAAGTTCATGGAACCCGTGTTTCCTCCCAAGCCTGATCTCCGCTTGAGATCAGGCTTCCAGGGAAATGCCAGCTCAGTGCACTTAAAAGGGAAACGCCGGCTCTTTGCTCTTAAAGGGGAAACGCTGGCTCCGTGCACTTAAAAGGGAAACGCCGGCTCCTTTAAGTGCAGGGAACTGGCGTTTCTGGAGATCCGGTGTGCAGGCGGGAGGAAGCAGCAGACGTCCCCAACGTGACATCATGATGTCGGGGATGCTCCGCCCCCTCCAGGAACGCCCCCAAAGTCCCCCGCTGGGAGCGGAAGATGGACTTGGCAACCCTAGGAACGGTAGGAGCTCCCGCAGGGCCCTGATCTCACACGGAAGCATGTTCCACCAGGCCGGGTGCAGGGCAGAGAAAGGCCTGGTCCTGGCTGAGACTAAACAGACGTCCCTCGGGCTGGGGTTGCGCCAGAAGTCACGTCACTTTGCAGGGAGAACGATCACCGAATTCCCTGTTTGGGCAGCCTGTTTCTGCCCACCAACCAGGTGACTGTTGACAGGCAGTGGACAAAAGTGCCAGGAGGTTGCCTGCCATAAATGGGCACCTGGCAAGCCTACAGCCGCCCACTGACTGCTTCACACACACACAGACACACACACTGCCTCACTCACCGGCCCCGTTGATCTCTCATGTTCACAGCCGCTCCCCGGTGCAGCAAGTAACGGCAGAGCTCCGAATGGCTCATTTTGGCTGCCAGCATCAGTGGGGTTACCCCATCCTGCCAAGGGAGAGGAGATGATGAAAGGGGAGCTGCACAAACCAACCAACCAACCAACCGGGCAGGGGTACAGAACCACAGATGAGAGGAAGGGTCTCTGGAGACAGGGGCTGGAGGAGAATCCCAGAGAAGTAGGCCTGTTACTCTATTGTAGCAAAGAAAAAGAAATGCAAGAAAGCAAAGTGGCTGTCTGATGAGGCTTTAAAAATAGCAGAGGAAAGAAGGGAAGCGAAAGGCAAAGGCGAAAAGGAAAGATTTACCCAACTGAATGCAGATTTCCAGAGAACAGCAAGGAGAGATAAGGAGGCCTTCCTGAATGAACAGTGCAAAGTAATAGAAGAAAACAATGGAATGGGAAGGACTAGAGATCTCTTCAAGAAAATTGGAGAAATCAAGGGAACGTGCCGTGCAAAGCTGGCCATGATAAAGGACAAAAATGGTAGGGACCTAACAGAAGCAGAAGAGATTAGGAAAAGATGGCAAGAATACACAGAAGAACTATACAAGAAGGACCTCAGTGTCCTTGAGAACCACGATGGTGTAGTCACTGACCTCGAGCCAGACATCCTGCAATGTGAAGTTAAATGGGCCTTAGAAAGCATTAGTAACAACAAAGCTAGTGGAGGTGATGGTATTCCAGCTGAACTATTCAAAGTCTTAGAAGATGATGCTGTTAAAGTTCTGCACTCCATTTGCCAGCAAATTTGGAAAACGCAACAGTGGCCACAGGATTGGAAAAGATCAGTATACATTCCAATCCCAAAGAAGGGCAATGCCAAGGAATGTTCAAACTATCGCACAATTGCACTCATATCACACGCTAGCAAGGTCATGCTCAAGATCCTACAAGCTAGGCTTCAACAGTACGTGGATAGAGAACTACCAGAAGTACAAGCTGGGTTTCGAAGAGGTAGAGGAACGAGAGATCATATTGCCAACATTCGCTGGATTATGGAGAAAGCAAGAGAGTACCAGAAAAATATCTACTTCTGCTTCATTGACTATGCTAAAGCCTTTGACTGTGTGGATCACAACAAACTATGGCAGGTCCTTAAAGAGATGGGAGTACCAGACCACCTCACATGTCTCTTGAGAAACCTGTATAAGGGCCAAGAAGCGACAGTTAGAACCGGATACGGAACAACTGATTGGTTCAGCATAGGAAAAGGAGTACGACAAGGATGTATATTGTCACCTTGCTTATTTAATATATATGCAGAGTACATCATGCGAAATGCTGGCCTGGATGAATCACAAGCGGGAATTAAGATTGCTGGGGAAAAGATCAACAACCTCAGATATGCAGATGATACCACTCTAATGGCTGAAAGTGAAAAGGATCTAAAGAGCCTCTTGCTCAGAGTAAAAGAGGAGAGCGCAAAAGTGGGCTTGAAGCTCAACATCAAAAAAACTAAGATCATGGCATCCGGCCCCATCACTCCTTGGCAAATAGAAGGGGAAGCTGTGGAAGTAGTGACAGACTTCACGTTCCTGGGATCCCAGATCACCGCAGACTGTGACTGCAGCCATGAAATTAAAAGACGCCTGCTCCTTGGGAGGAAAGCGATGGCGCCTGGAAGGCCAGATCCTGAAGCTCAAATACTTTGGCCACCAAATGAGAAGGGAGGACTCACTGGAGAAGACCCTGAGGCTGGGAAAGACTGAAGGTCAAAGAGGACGGGGACGGCAAAGGATGAGATGGTTAGACAGTTTCATAGATGCAACGAACATGAAACTGAGCAAACTCCGGAGCACGATGGAACACAGGAGGGCCTGGCGTAATGTGGTCCATGGGGTCGGACTCGACTGTGCGACTAAACAACAACAAAAGCAAAAGCAAACAGAAGTCAAGTGGCACCTGAAAGGCAAACAATATTTATTCCAGCATCAGTTTTTGTGAATCAGAGTTCTCTTTCAGAGAGGAAGATAGTCGTGTTATTCCCTGGCCAATGTCAGTAGTGTCTTGACTGTGGAACTGGGTATACTCTGGACTTTTATGAAGAAATAACGAAAGCTCTGCATTAGAGATGCAACCAAAATTTTGTGACCACACTGCTTCAGTGTGAAAATTCCAGTTCCTGATTTGGTACAAAATTACAGCCCTTTTCCCTCTGATCCTACTAATGTCATTTCTGTAGCAATATCACTTTTTAAACTGATGTCTTTTTGCATCGATGGCTTAGCCTCCAAAAAGAAAAGAAAAGAAAAAAAGAAAATAGAACTGCCGAAATGAAATAAATGAATCTGGAACTTTGGTGACAAAAATTAATAGAAACGAACACTCTCACAGTAACAAAAAACAATAAAGGGCATATTTTCGCAACTCTCCTTTAGATCAAGGTTATAGAGGTGGCATAATAGGACAAATGTGTGGCTGAGACTATATAAATGTTGTGAAAATGAAGGATAATTGCACCATTGCTCTCCCCCACCTTGCAGTGTTGAGGGGGCACTATACATTCTCCCTCTGCAAGATGCTGAAAGAATATCTGTAGCACTGAACCG